GTAATCACGTTGCCACATCACATGTAGACACATTCATTCTAGATAAATGGAAACTGTATCGATTACGGAGACAAGAGCTCGGTGGACGGTGTTAAATAACATGACGAAAATAATTAGCTACGTAAGGGGTTTAATGTGGTGGTTGGATAGATGTGCACATTTTTAATGAAAAATAAACAGAGAAAACGTATCTAATTTTGGTTAGTATTATTATCACTGAAAAATAAAAAGCTTTTTAAAGTGTCAATTTCGACTGAATTATCCAAAATTTTATTGACTGTAAGGAAATCTAGAAACTGAGATGATAATGTCCAAATTAATGAATTAATTAATAGAAAGATGATAATTTGGGCGGCCATGGAACAATCAGATTATTTAAATCGGGCGGAAAAACGTTCTGCTTGTACCATACAAAGAAATCTGAAAAGAGGTATTTTTGACTATATTTATAGTTACTGTATTATTTTATGTTGATTAGGAATTCATCTGTGAAACAGTGATATTCTTAAAATAAACTTAAAATTCCGGAGTCCCCACCACTTTTAACGAAAAAATCAAAGTTGATCTAATCGGTTATCAACATAGCAATAACTTTAAAATGAGAAAATCGATCATAGGTTATTTCGACAGAATTTTTGAATTTTTCTATTTTTCAATTAAAATTTTTTTTTTTGCTTCTTCAGTTTATCAATTCTCAAATTTTCAAGTTTTCAAGTTTAAATTCTTCAGTGTTTCAATTTTCCAACTTTCCAATTTATCTGTTTCCAGATTTTGCAATTTTTCGTTTCGGTTTTTTATTTTCTATATTTTTTCAATGTTTCCATTTTCAGATTTTTTGTTTTCTCAATTTTAATTTTTTTTTCTTCATCAAAATTTCAATTTGCGATTTTTCAATTTTTCATTTTGTTATTATTATTATTTTATTTTTTATTTCTTCAATTTTTAAATTTTGACATTTTTCGGTTTCAGATTTCTCGAGTTTCCAATTGTTTCGATACTTTGATTTTGGTTTTTATTTTGTTTACAATTTTCGATTTTCAGTTTCGCGAGATTTCAATTTCTAATTTTTCAGTTTTTAATTTCTTCAATATATCGTTGTGTAACTTTTCATTTCGGTTTTCCATTTTCTTTATTTTGTCAATTTTTAGATTATAAAATTTTTGGTTTTTTAATTTTTACATTTTTCAGCTTCCCGATTTTTTCCGTCTCTTCCATTTTCGATTTGCATTTTTTCTAGCCTTCTCTTTAAATTTGTACCTGATAATAATTATAATTGTTTTACACGTTGAGGATTTTCCTTCAATAATTTGAAATATTTTTAAAAAATTAGAGGTTTCATCAAAATAAATCAAACATTCCAGAGATTCTACATAATTACAAAGAGTTCCACAATTCCATAAATTTTCGGAATCTCCAAATTTAAAAAGATTCCAACGATTTCAAACATTACAGAATCTATAGTCAGAGTTTCCGGAGATTCCAAAGGTTATAGGTATTCTAGAGAATTTAAAATTTCTACAGATTAAATCAATTTTAATATTTAACGATACGGCGATTCAAAAGAATGTAATGATTCTATATTTTCTACAGATTGTAGCGAATCTAAATGTTATAGACGTCTTAGACACTCTAAAGACTGTGGCGATTCCAAACATTCCAAGATTCGAAAGATCACTGGATTTCAGAGATTCTAAAAATTCCAAAGATTTGCAAAATTCCGCAAATTTTTGGAATTTCGCGATTTACTAAAACTACACTCTCGGGATTCTAAAATTCTAAAGGCTCCAGAGGGTTCAAAGTTTCTAAAGAATCTGGCGAATCACAGTTTTCAGAGATTCAAGTAATATGAGAGATTCTGGATTTCTGAATTGTTCTATTCTTAAATTTTTATTTTTTTTTGTTTCTTCAGTCTACAACTTGCAAATTTTCGAGTTTTCAAGTTTATAATCTTCCGTTTTTCAATTTTCCAACTTTTCCATTTTTTTATTTACAATTTTTTGTTTCAGTTTTTTTATTTTCTTTATTTTTTGAATTATTGGATTTTTTACTGTTTCGATTTTATGATTTTTTTTTCAATTTTAATTTTTCAATTTTTCGTTTCATCAATTCATCGATTTGTCATGTTTCATTTTTTATTTCTTCAATTTTTAGATTTTGCCATTTTTCGATTTAAAATACCTCGAGTTTTCAATTGTCTCAATTTTTTGATTTCGGTTGTTATTTTCTTTATTTTTACAACTTTTAGGTTTTTCAATTTTTGAATTTTTTTTCGGTTTTTTATTTTCTTTGTTTTTTTAATTTTTCGATTTTTCCACTTTTAGATTTTTTATTTTCCGTTTGTTCGTTTTTAGATTTTTCAGTTTTTCGATTTTTCAATGTTCCGTTCCGTCAATTTTTGATTTGCAATTTTTTTGTCTTCGTTTTAAACATGTATTTAATAAAATTATAATTTGTAAAATATTTCACATAATTTTTCCATTTTTCAATTGTTGGATTTTGAAATTTATCATTTATCGATTTTTCAATTTTTCAATTCTTAATTTTCAATTTCTCTATATCTAATTTTTCAAATTTTCGAACTTTCAGTGTTACAGCTTTTCGACTTCACAATTTTAACGATTCCATAATTTTTCGATTTGATTCGTTTTTTCTTATTTACAATTTTTCGATTCATTAATTTTTTCGATTTTTAACTTTTTCGATTTTGACTTTTTCAATGTTTCGATTTCTCGTTTCTTCAGTTCTTCGATTCGTAATTTTTGATTTTTCACTTTTTCGATTTTGTAATTTTTCGCTTTTTCATTTTTGATTTTTCAATTTTTTCCCAATTTATAGTTGTTCGATTTTTAATTTTTCGATTTTTCAACCATTATTTTGAAAGAATTGGAAAAATTGCAAAACTGTAAAATTGAAAAATCTAAAAGCTTTAAATCAGAAACTTGAAAAATTGAAACGAAAAATTGAAAAATCGAAAGATTAAAAAATGAGAAACTTGAAAATCGAAAAAATGCAAAATCGGAAAAAGGAAATATTGCAGAACCGAAATGTTGAAAATTAAAGAAAATCGGATAATTATCCAGAAATCCAAAAATCGCAAAAATGTAAAATTTAAAAATTAGAAAATACAGAAATCGAACAATCAATAATTGAAAATTTGAAGAAATGAATAAACTAAAAAAATAAAGTCGAAAGAAACATTGGAAACATAAAGGAAATGGAAAAAATTAAAAATTGTGATATAAAATCGAGAAAATGAAAATTAAAAAATCGGTAAATAAAAAAAATAGAGATCAAGAAATTGAAAAATTGAGGAAACAAAAAATTGAAAAATCGAAAAGTAAAAATTGAGAAATTAAAAAATCGAAAAAACGAAAATTGCAAAATTCATAAACTGCAGATCGAAACAGTGAAGAAACGAAAAATTGGAAGCCGAGAATTTGATAAAAGTGGAACGAATTTCAAAAAATTAAATTAAAAAGTGGAAATAAATAAGACCACATTTTTCGTAAAATTATTAAGATTTGATTTTGCGAATTTTATTTTTTTATGATAACCCTTATCAGTTAAAATAAATATGCGTATGTATTACAAAATTTTGAGATTTTGGGAGGGAATAAACGAATAAATTTTGACTAACGATTTACCATGATTACATTTTTTTGGATTTGCAAAAAAGGAAAACTAAAAAATTGGAAAATCGAGATTTTGAACAATCAAAAATTAAAAAATGTAAAAATGAAAAATTGTGATATAACCGAAAAAATGAAAATGAAAAAAATCGGTAAATTGAAAAACAAAAATCAGGAACTTCGAAAATTGGGGAAACAAAAAATTGAAAATTCGAAAAATTAAAAATTGAGAAATTGAAAAATCGAAAAATGGAAATTATAATATTAAAACATTGCAAAATTGAAAAATTGCATGTCGAAAAACTGAAGAATTTTAAAAATTAAAACTGCAAAAACGAAAAAACGAGAAATTGTGATATTAAAATATTTTTCTAAAAATTCTATGATTTCATTTTGGGAATTTTATTTTTTAACGATTTGCCATTATTACGATAACCACAAAACATTTGCAAGATTTCAGAGCATTCGGTTTTGTATAGTTTAAAAATAAATTGAAAAATGTTATATATTTTAGATTTTTTTCCAAAAATCTGTGTGTCTAGGGTGATAACACGGAATCATACACCACAAATACAGGAGTATTTTAAAAATAAAACAAATTTATTATTGTAAATTTTGAAGTACAAATCCGGACCGACAGCAGACAGACTGTCAGTCAGTCAGACGCAAACGGGAGACCTATTTCTTCGTACTCTAGAGATCACGGAAGGTCGATAAAACTTTAAAAGTAGATTAGTATTAGCTTACGCTCAGGAAGTAAAAATCTTCGGTAATCACAGCACCCACTCCAGATAACTGATCCCATAAAACTCATAAAACTTCCAGTAAACCTCCATAAACGCCCATAACTTATATTAAAGCCTCTATTGCAAATCACCATAAAACAATCCGATCATATTTCAAGCCTTTGATCAGCGGCAAACACCATCGATAAAATGTAAATCTCAATAATTTACCGTCAGGATTTAGGAGCTCTTATCCGAATTAGTGAAACCTGGCTAAAATAAACGACTCCCCTTTCAACCGTCCCTCTTCCATCTCTTTCCCGCCACTTTCCTCCGCGCGCCAGAACGAGACAAACCAGAACGAACCACTTTGGGGCTAAAAAGAATCGGTATGGTGTTTATAAGGTGTGGTCAAGATTGAATAAATGCGTGCTGCGAATGTTTTCCAGTATTTTGATTAAATTATAACCCTTTTCATTTTCACCCCGCTTCGTTAATACATCTCAGATCGAACCCTCGGCCAAGAATCGCATTTTCATGCGGTTCATCCGAGCGCGCGTTTGTCTTCATGGACGTTTATTTGTTGATCTTCTCGGTGTTTGCTCAAGGTTTGCGTGTAACTGTGTTTGTATTGCTCGGAATTTAGGGTGAACCGGCGTCGCCCCAACCCTCAGTGGACCGGCTATCTGTTACGTTTGCGGAGGACTCGGTCAGGAGTGATAGTTCGACCAAGTGCAACTACTACAGCCCCGGAGGCGCAAAGATGGACAAGGATAAGGTCCACTTTCCGCAAACAACAGGTAAAATTTCATCAATTTCATATCATTATTAAGTGTCTTAAAGTCCATTAAATGAGAATTGTGTACACAATTTTTTCTATGACCAGACTTCATTTACAATAATATTTCTCGTCCCTTTCGTGTATGTTATTTTGGCCCGAACAAACGTTACGTTTGCGGAGAATTCGGTCAGGAGTGATAGATAGTTCAACTAAATGTAACTACTACACTGCGAAGAATGGGCGAGGATAAGGTTCATTTTCCGCAAAGCACAGGTAAAGTTTAATCAGGGGAACTGAGTTCGGAAGTTGGCTCGAGTTGCGGAACGGCACACGGAAACACAATTACAAAATTGTTTTCCCCATATATTATGCATTTGTCGTGGAAATTTAAAGTAAAAGTTAAACAGGAGTGCGGCTGTCCGAAATCAACAAATTACGGGACGAAGGAGAGCTTTTTACGACAAACACAAACTTTTGTTGCCGGGAGTTAAAAAAAAATTAAATAAAAAATAAAGTTGTAATTGCGGTTAGACTCTACAAGAGGTCTAGAAAATTACTCAATATTCTCCGAAATAATATCGCGTAAGGTTAAGATTCTGCCGATATTTTCATCGAGAGATAAATTTCGATCATCAGTCTTAGAAAGTCTTATAGAAGCGAAGCTAAGATCCCGGAATTTTAATTTTTTGGTTCACTGATTTCACCGCAATACTGTTCGAAGCTCGGTGGTTTTTACGTTCCTATTAACTATGTAGATTATACCTGAGTTCCTGTACTGGATTTACGGGGAAAGTTTAATTAGAAACTTAATGAAAAATCAAGTTAAGTCAGATTTTAGTTGCAGTGTAACACACAGTGCGGAAACTATTTACAGCATAAACTGGATTTTAATTAAGGATGGTGTTTTGACGATGATCCTTTATTTGTAGCACTTTTTCCTGAGATGACATGACAAATAATTTTTTTTAGAATTTTATACAATCATTACAATATTGCGCTGTTTTGTTCTGTCATAATGTGATTTAAATATTTATTCAGCCGAGACTGTGTAATGCCACTACATAGACTTCTTTTAAAAGTAAATATTGTATTTTATATTTCGCAAGAGTTTGTAATTGGACAGATGTTTAGCAGATACGCAGTGAACGCAATAAAGCATAATAATATGCGTTTAAACCTGTCCTAGAAAACATAGTCTCTTCAGTTTATATTGTTTATTTTGTTTTATTTCAAAATATGCACATGTCATGTCTAGGAACGTTGTGAAAGTTCACTTGATGCACAATTATACGCAACTTACGGACTTCAATAATCGTTCTGGTTTGAATGTGATCACATTTAATTTAATTATTTACAGACCAATGTTATTAATGTAAATTCTGGAAATTCACCGAAACATGTTTTTGTTAATTTGAAATTTTACACTTAGTTGCTTTGAAATGGGATCATTTTAAATATAAAACACACAAAGGGAGAAATGCACCCACGCAGTAATAATAATGATGTTGTATTCAAATGTTGAAATAGATTTCCGATTGAATACAACGGGAGTTTTTCAAACTAAACTCGCGCTAAGTAGTTTTCAAGCCATTTTTACTTGCAATCTTTGTTGTGTAACCTATTGAAAATTTTATTTGCTTTTAGTATTTTATATTATATACAACGCTTATTTTACTAAAACTTCATATTTTTTTAATTAATTAATTAATTAACACCAAGATCGTAAAAGTTCTAAAATCTCTCTCTCATATACCTGAAAATAATTATTACGAAGATATCTCAAAATATTTTTTAATAAATCCCGTTTTAAATCCTCCACACCTTTAATTTAATAATACACCTTCATTTTGAATACTTCTCCTAAAAAACTAGTTTTGACTTATGTTTGTATTATTTGACTTAATTAGATTCTTACTGATTTACACATCCATTCCAGATCTAGATGACATCATTGAAAAAGAGATCATTATTAAACAAATATATTTTTGAAAATTTTGCAATGAAATGTATCATTGTTTGTCTTTCGGTAACATGTCTTTATTTCTCATAAAAACGAATGTATGAACAGATTTAAATTATGGTCATGTCAAAAGTTAATTCTGAAAAAAAGTCACATATTTACCACTAGAAACTGCGTCTTTTCAAAAAAATGCCACGTGAAAACTAAATCGATATCTTTGTAATTTTTTTTAGTTTATTATTTTGATAATATAAAGTGATAACGTCATAATTTTGAAAATTCAACTAAAGTCTTTTCAAAAGACTTGATTAGAACTGAGAAGTTTGAAATTTTCAAGCGGTTTTGTTAGATTTTGATTCTTATATTAATGAAATTATATTCCTTGCATTCTGGTTCAGTTTGCCTTAGGGTTTTTTTTTATTTCAAAGAATTGTTTATTAGGGTAAATATTTTTTTTACACATTATAAAACAAAAACTCCCGGCGCCTCCACCATTTTTATCAAAAAAATGTATGTTTCTCTAATCAATCCAGAATGAAATTATTCATATGAGAAAGATTCTCAGTATCATAAATCTGTCCTTATTGTCTTTGTGTCCACAATATTGAACAAGAACTCATGCAATAAAACTAAATTTGTTGAAAATCATTCCATGAAAAACCATTTACCTTGGTTCAAATTTCTGCTAGTCATTTCTTCTAGCTGTTTCATCTTTAATTGATTATTTAATATGGAAGTTTTGTAAAAATTATTGAAATAAATAAGTTTTTTTAAATAATTTATTATCCCGGCGCCTCCACCATTTCTATCAGTTTAATCTATTCACAATGACATTATTTGTACTTTCCGAGCGTAAGCTAAGGAAGTATATTAATCGAGTCCATCGGACGAATGGCTATTTTTACATTTTTCGACGTTTCACGACCCCTACAGTACGAGAAAAGTAGTCTCCCGTTTCCGTCTGTCTGTCTGGTGTCTGTATCCATTTTTATTAATCACGTAATCCCCGAAGCTGCTGAACCGATTGTTGTCAAATTTTGTATGTACATTGGATACTACATGTAGTGGTTAAGTGCTAATCATCCCCACCAACAATTTGATGACGTCACTTCAAAGAATTCTATGTTTATTTGATTTAAGTGTTATAAAACAACGAATCCGCTTTGAGTTTTTCCCTAACCGTACAAATTTTTGCAGAAACATAATGCACAGAATAATAAAAGTTTATCATTATCATTAGTATAAGGTATCCCAGTGGCGGTCTAGTGGTTACGAGTCAGGCATGCGGACAGGACGTGGTGCGTTCGATTCCAAACTTGGCCTTTCGATTTTTTCTTTTTCTTTTTTTCTCTTTTTATCTCGGATTGTGTATTATCTAAGTTTATAACGCCGTAACAATTTCACGAAAAACTTTCTCGAAAAAGTGAGAATACGCCCATCTTTAGTTAAAAATATAAAACCTTCTCGGAGGCTCCAAATGTCTTTTTTTAATGTAAAACCTTCTTGGGGGTCCCAACTATCTTTTCTAAAAATGTAAAACCTTCTCCGGGGCCCCAAATGTATTTTTTCAAGAATGTGAAACCTTCTCGGGGGTTCCAATTGTTTTTTTTTGTTAATGTGAAACCTTGTCGAGGCTCCCAACTGTCTTTTTTAAAATGTAAAACCTCCTCTGGGGTACACACTATCTTTTTAAAAATATAAAACCATCTCGGGGGGATAAATATCCATTTTTCAAGCAGGTGAAACCTTCTCGGGGTCCCAACTGTATTTTTTTTTTTTAATGTAAAACCTTCTCGGGGGCTCCAAATGTCTTTTTTTTAATATAAAACCTTCTCGTGGGTCCCAAATGTCTTCTTAAAAATGTATAATCTTCTCGAGGGGCCCAAAATGTATTTTTTTAAGAATGTGAAACCTTCTCATGAATCCCAACTATCTTTTTTAAAAATGTAAAACCTTCTCTGGGACGCCAAATGTATTTTTTCAAGAATGTGAAACCTTCTCGGGGGTCCCAATGGTCTTTTTTTTAATGTGAAACCTTGTCGAGGCTCTCAACTGTCTTTTTTAAAATGTAAAATGTTCTCGGGGGCGATAAATATCCATTTTTTACCAACTTGAAACCTTCTCGGGGGTCCCAACTGTATTTTTTTTTAATGTAAAACCTTCTCGGGGGCTCCAAATGTCTTTTTTTTTAACATAAAACCTTCTCGTGGGTCCCAAATGTCTTCTTAAAAATGTATAATCTTCTCGAGGGGCCCAAAATGTATCTTTTTAAGAATGTGAAACCTTCTCATGAATCCCAACTATCTTTTTTAAAAATGTAAAACCTTCTCTGGGACGCCAAATGTATTTTTTCAAGAATGTGAAACCTTCTCGGGGGTCCCAGTTGTCTTTTTTTTAATGTGAAACCTTGTCGAGGCTCTCAACTGTCTTTTTTAAAATGTAAAATGTTCTCGGGGGTCCCAACTGAATTTTTTTTTTTAATGTAAAACCTTCTCGGGGGCTCCAAATGTCGTTTTTTTAACATAAAACCTTCTCGTGGGTCCCAAATGTCTTCTTAAAAATGTATAATCTTCTCGAGGGGCCTAAAATGTATTTTTTTAAGAATGTGAAACCTTCTCGTGAATCCCAACTATCTTTTTTAAAAATGTAAAACCTTCTCTGGAACGCCATATATATTTTTTCAAGAATGTGAAACCTTCTCGGCGGTACCAATTGTCTTTTATTTTAATGTGAAACCTTGTCGGAACTCCCAACTGTCTTTTTTAAAATGTAAAACCTCCTCTGGGGTACCAACTATCTTTTTAAAAATGTAAAACCTTCTCGGGGGCGATAAATATCCATTTTTTAAGAAGGTGAAACCTTCTCGGGGGTCCCAACTGTATTTTTTTTTTTAATGTAAAACCTTCTCGGGGGCTCCAAATGTCTTTTTTTTAATATAAAACCTTCTCGTGGGTCCCAAATGTCTTCTTAAAAATGTATAATCTTCTCGAGGGGCTTAAAATGTATTTTTTTAAGAATGTGAAACCTTCTCGTGAATCTCAACTATCTTTTTTAAAAAT